CCAAAAGAGTTATAATTTCTCTTTTCTGGTAATCTTTTTTTTTTAAGATCATTTTATTGGGGACTCTTCTAACAATCCATACATTATTTGTATCAAGCATATTTGTACATATGTTGCCATCATTATTTTCTAAACATTCAGAAAATGTTTCTATTTTAGCTCTTGGTATCAGCTCTTCTTTTTTCCCTCCCACCCCCACTCCCACCCTTGTGACCTCTTGATAAATTATTAATTATATTTTACACTGACTGTTGTCTCCCTTCCCCCATGGTTTCTTATAGTTCGTCCCCCTGGAGGGGGTGGTGGCGGTAAGATTATATGTCGATTATGGCGGTTGGTTCTCCCTTCCTCCCCACTCTCCATACCTTCCCCCTATCTGGTAATCTTTTACACTAAAAGATGGTTGCTGAAAGTTTTGAATTTCACAGAAGTTATGAAAATTCTAAATTTCCTTTATTATTCTCATTATTACAGGAGATCAAAAGTGAGCTAAAAATGAAGCAGAACGCCCAAGTCATTCTGTATAGAAGTTACCGCCAAGGAGACCTTCCTGACATTCAGATCAAGCACAGCAATCTGATCGCCCCCTTGCAAGCTGTAGCCCAGGTCTGTCCCTGAGTGGTCAAGTTTTCTATTAACAGACAAGTCTCTGATAACAATTCTGAGCTGTCCTATGCTTAGGGCACAATGGTGGAGGCAACATTGTGTTTTAAACGAAGCGTTGATCGTCATAGCAGAGGCTTAGTTATAAGACCTTGTGTTGATCTTCGCTCTTCCGTTTTCTGGCTCTGTGTCGGCTTCGCCAGGGGTGTGAGACTGGCTCAGACTCATCTAGGATGTAATCCTGAACTTCCGTGTCCTTGTCAGTTCACTGAACCCCGAGCCACAGTGTCTCCATGGATGAAACCAGAGAGCTGCATCTGTTTTTCCTTCTTCATTCAGAATGAAATAAAATGTGTGAGATAATGTAAACTGTAAAGTGCAAGCCACTTAAATCATTGCTTACACAAAATAGCATTTTGGAGGGGTTAGAGTAGCACACATTTAACAGTGAGGTCGTTGTTGAAATTATTTTTGTAAGTCATTGTTTATTTGGGTGTAAAAGAAAGTGTCAAGAGTGAATGAAATTTTCTACTTGAGTTCTTTGATAAAAACAGAGTATTTATTCCCCAAAGACTGATTAGGATTTCCATTTAGATAAAACTTTAAAAAGTAACTAAAGATTATAGTATATACAGCATTATGCTGTACACTAAAATGCAATGCTTTATATTTACATTTACAGTTTTTGTTTATCATAGTAGATTTTATGTACCTAACCCTTTATTACTTTTAAACTTATTTTGAAATAATAAGTCACAAAAACAGTACAGAGCCCTTTGTATGTTCCACCAGCATCCCCTAGTGGTGATATATCTGACGGTAATACAGTTTCCAGATTGAGAAGTGGACGTGGGTACCCTGCACCTTGTACCTTGTTGGGCTCCATCTTCCTTCATGCATTCGTTTGTGTGTGCTTTATTCTCTGCAGTTTTGTCCCATATAAATTCATGTAACTACCAGGTCTTAATAGTTAAGAAATTCTTTCACACCATTGTTCGTTCTCCCAGAAGTCTCATGAATTGACAGTTATTATATAGATGAAAAAGTTCAGGTTAGCAGAGTACTGTATCAGGTTAGGAAGGAGGTGAGGACCAGACACCCTTTGAAGCACTTGAGCTTGCC